TTCTTTTATTATTTTTTAAGGAACTGCGCATGTGGCGTTGCTTCAATAAGTATCATGTGTTCTTTTAACTTATAAGGCTGCTTACATTGCTTTTCGTGCAGCACAATGATTTTCTTGATTCTTATTGGATACAATGATCCATCCCCGTTTTACTTGTTTACATCTTTGATTTTTGCTAATCATTCCTTCCCGTATTTTCTTGTGTCGATTTTTCTCCTAATATGTTTTAACTTATTTCTCTAACAGGCTTCCTCAAGTATTTAAAGATAAGTTCATAGTTATCTTATTTTATTTCCTGTTTTTAACTATGTCTTCTCGTTCAATTACTCCTTTAAGTGATGTTCCCTTGTCTCGTCGTGTTATGATTACTAATTCTAAAGGCAAAATTATTTCTGTTGTTTCAGAGAACTTTCTCGGTGATGGTACTTCTTCTCCTCTTTCTTCGGGTACTGAATATATTCCTTCCTCTGAGCCTCCTGAAGATGCTCAATCTGAGGTTCCTTCTGAAGTTTCTACTATAGAAGCTTCATCATACTCTGCTCATGTTGCTCCTAGGGGTCGTAAGGATATCTTATATCCTTCAAGGTAATGATTGTTATCTTTTAGTTCCATAATCTTCATTTATTGCATTCATTTGAGTGCTTTCGCTTTATACATGTTCCTTTCTCTTTCCCTCTTCTTTAATAAATTTATTTTTCTGTTCTCGCAAGTTCATCTCATGTGAGGTGAATAGAGTTCGCTTTCTTGTCTAGTACGCTAATATGCTCAGGCATTTAAGCAATTTGGATCAGATGTAATCATGAAGGAGTGGTTATACAACTGGCAGACTTTAACAGTCATACAATATCATTTGTTCGCTTCATTTTTAAGGAAATGTTATTGGCCAGAGATCAAACTCGTTTTCCTTCTTTTAGCAATCATTACTTTAATTCATCCTTTCTTTTATAGGTTGCCTATCCCTTCTCATGCTGTCTTTTCTTCAAGGCCTTTTCTCTGTCCCAGTTGTGTTGGTCGCTTTGCTGAAACTGATCGGCTCAGAGAAATAATTGAAAGTGATTCTTCTGGTTCTTATTGCAGAAGATGTCGGTTTGACAATGAAACCTTTAAGGTTATAAGAACGATGATCTGTAATGTTCTTCCTAATCCTCCTGAGGGTCGTTCAGCTTCTAATTATGTTGAAATGTTGTATGACAGAGTTCGTGATCTTGAATTAGAAATTTCCTTTCTCAAAGAACAACTTTCTAAATCATAATAAAGTTATTGGTGTTTTCGTTATCATCTGTTCCTTTTTTGTCTATATAAATTCCATATTTGGTAGTGATTGTTAAATCTTCTCATATATTTAACTAGGGATGTTGTTTTTTCGTTCATCATTATCTAAAATGTCTTCTTCTCCTTGTTTTGATTTCATCTGGTAAAATTATATTTCTTGTTTGATTCTTTATCAACGTCTCTCTCTCTCTTTTTTTATTCACGATTATTTTTCTTGCAGCTCTATCTTGGATTTGCTTAAATCTCTTGAAGATGATCTCGTTCAGTCTAATCATCTTCCAGTCAATATTCAAGAATCCATTCTTAATATTCGGACTTATCTCAGATGTCTTGAAGTTTCAGATGGTTCTTCCATTGTTGTCTCGGTTCAAGAAATTATCCGGAGTCATTTTCCATCATTTCCTCTAAGTCATCCGCTTTCTTCGATGATTGATTATCTATGTCTTTCTTTTACAAATTCTTATGATATTATTCATAAAGAACTTGTTAAACTTCAAAATATCATTTCTACTCTTCGTTCAGAGAATTCTTCTCTTAAAGAGGAAAATCAATCTCTTCATAATATTATTAGAGATCTTAAATCTCAAAATATTATTCTTTCGTCAGAGAATTCTTCTCTTCATGAAGAAAATAAGTCTTTTTGTGATCTTATTGGTAGTTATAAAAGTTCCTAAACGTTCTTTTCGTTTCTTGATCAGATCTTTCGATTTTATTCTTTAACCTTCTTTTTGATTTTATTGGTATTTCGATTATTTCCTTTTTCTTTTGTTATTGTTGTATCTTTCTATAGGTTTCTACAAATTTGTGTTCTATTAAATATTAATAAAAGATCTTGATATTCTCTCCGTTATTCCTAAAAATGTCTCACACTACTATCTCGTCTGGTTCTCCTACTCCAAACAATTCTCCTATTCCTGAGGATTCTATAAATATTCCTTCCAGAATTCTTGATATGGCTTTGGCCAATCTTTCTCGTGTCCAAGATTCTATTCAATCAATCTCTCATCAAGCATCCTGGAGCGAAACTCGTTGTAGCCATCTTGAAGCTATTCTAAGTTCTTCTCGTACCATTGTTGCCGATAGCTTTCCAGGCAATTCTTTTGTGGAGAATAATTCTTTTCCTGATGTTGTTAAAGGTCTCTGTCGTTCTGTCAATTTTTATTTCACAAAAGCTTGTCAGCTTGAAAAGGAAAATGCTCGCCTCAGAAAAGAAGTCACTATTCTACAGAATATTAAATTTGATCTTGAAAATATAGTACATGATCTTCGTTCCCAATCCCCTGATAATAGTTCATAACGTTTCTTTTTCTTGTCTTTCGTTCAATATATTTTGTTGTTTCTTTCTCGTATTTCTGATTATTAATATTACTACTTAAATATTTCCTTTAAAGGATTCAATAAAGTTTTCCATAATATTATTGGTGCTTGATTATTTCTTTGTGTATATTGTTTATCGCTTTCTGTCTTCCTTCTTTGTAAATGATCACAGTTGTTATCTTGCATATTTAAAGAGTGTGATATGTTCGTCATTTCTTCCAAAATGTCTTCTTTAAATATCAACAAGTAAGACCTTTAGTTGATGCACTTGTTTGTTTCTATTTTTTTAATTTCTTTTTTCTTGTAGCGCTCTTCAAGATCTTGATACAGCCTTAGTTGCTCTTCGTCGTGTTCAGGATTCTCTCAAGATTATCCCTGAGGACACTCCTTGTTCTCGCTGTGTTGAGCTTGACAATTTTGTTTCTTCCTCGATTTCCAAGGCTCTTTATTCTTCTACTTCAGAGGGTTTCGTTCCTCCTCCCAAGTCTTCTTTTACTCTTGTCGAGGAGATTTGCAATTACTTTCATCTTGCAAATAAGGAAATTAATCGTCTCACCAAAGCTCTTGCTGAAGAGGAAAAAGATTCTGCTGAGAAGACTAATGAGCTTCGTGCTGAAATTACTGAACTTCGTCATAAAATTAAAGCTCTCGAAGAAGAAAATGAGTCTTTGAAAAGTCGCTAAAGACATATGATCTTCATCACGTTACTTCGTGGTGTCATTCTATTTTCTCTTTTTTTTAATGTCATCAATAAAGTCTAATATTTGATCATTACATTTATGTCGTGATGTTAATTTATGAGTTTCTCAGATATCAGTTACATCATTATGAAGTGTTACATTTTCATCATCATTTTTGTGTTATAAATATCTTGTCTTATCGTTTCTTGTTTCTGTTGGATTTTGTCTCCCATTTTTAATCACGTGAGTGTATCCTAGCATACACGTTCAAAATTTTCAAAAAAGATTTTCTTTTCTTACTGATTTTTATCATAAATGCTTTCATAGTATACAAAGATCAGAGTCTAATGTCAGTGATGATGGTACTGATGGCCAAAATATTTATGATGGTGCACATGACAATCCCCGTGATGTTCCTCGTGATTCTCCCATCCGTCAGATTCTCAATTTCCCTCCTGTTCACTTGCCTAATGTCCAAAATGTTGTTCGTCCTCCTGTTATTCAAAATATTCAAAATATTCAGAATCATCCTATTGCTCAGAATCATGAAGACGATGAAATTTACTTTCGCTTAACACTTCGCCCTGTCGATGAAATGTCTAATACTCAATTAAGAGAAGAACTTATCACTCTTTGCAATAGTGTCCTCCAACTTCGCAAAAGAATTGATTCCCTTACCGAAAAGAAATCAACTCGTCGTTCTGAAGAACTTGCTCGTAAACGTCGTCATCTTCGTGCCCAATTAGAATTATCTGATAAAGGAGATGGTAATATCAAAAGAATGTTGTACGTATTGTTGTTTTTTATTGTACTCTCACTTCATTCCATCTCTTCACTGATTTAATTCTTCCTTTTTTAGTAACTTTTGAGTCTTTGTTATCTTTGCATTACATATTTTCATCATTACATACTTGCATCTTATGTAATTCAATTTTGTATTTAATTGCGTGAATAAAATCAATTTCTCATAATTCAATTACTTCCTGAAATCTCAATACAATGAAAAACTATTACACAATTATTATTACAATTATCTTCTTGATAAGTTACCTACTTGGTCTTGTAAAATCTAAATCTTCTTATAAATCTTCTTCCAGAAATGAAGACTTATTTCAAAAAGCGTCATCTTGTTTTGAAGATATTTTAATCATGAATTGCAAGTCAACCATTAAAC